AGCCGATTGACAGATGATGGAAGCAGTTAGCTTCCATACATACACACATACATACATACATACATACATACATACATACATACATACATACATACATACATATATATATATATATATATATATATATATATATATAAAATCTCTAATTCAAATCAAATCAAATTGAATCAAATCAGGGCACAGCCCAAATAAAGCAGATGATATCAACATCATTGCATTAGTAAGAACTAGCTACTAATCCCTGTTGACAGGCTCACTGGATTATTTTAAACAATCTAATATTGCTCAACATAGAGTAACCCAGGTATAATGAGATAATCAAACATCATCATGCTATTAGGAAAAGAAATGTACATTTTAATCAAATTTGCAAATGAATGGCTGATTTTCTTTTTACTACAATAGCTAATTCTTTATTTAAAACAAGGGAAACAATGACCTACTATTTCAAACTCTACGTGGAATGTTGATATAGAATCCAGCTTCAAAATTACTTTCACATACGTAAGTCAGGTGTTTTTAATGCTGCACTTCCTCATTTTTATGAAACTGATTCTTTTATGAACCAATATTCTTGAGATTATAGTTGTGCCATCTATTTCTTCTAAACCAAGCAGAATATGTAAATAAAATACTTAAAACTTAGTTTAAAAATATTATTAAAGCTATTTTCAATATCACATCAACATAATGGAAGTAATGTTTCCTTTGAGTCAAACTTTGACAGCTTCATATTTGACATATTTTGTTTTCAGCATCATGGAAGTGGTTTGTTATTGCCTACAATTTTGTTTTTCCCCCCTTTGTTTAACTTGGTTCGGAATTGAAAAGTGTAATATTCACTTACACCAGCTGATCAATGGTGAATTTTGCATATATGAAAAACATATTTAGCCTTTAAAAAAACCCTATGTTTCAGGAAAGTGAAAAGGATACAATTGTATTTTCCTATTTCAAAGTTGGAACTTCCAACAGAGAGTGCATCAAGAAAGTTGACACATTTTGCACCACATCATATAAAGAAAAGCCTTGAGGGAAAGTACTTTCAGTTCTAGTAACAATAATAATAACAATAGAGATGGTGATATTCTAAATCTATGCCAGGCAACTACCAATCTCAATGCTAATTAAGACTGATAACCAACCTCATGATATGTTCCCAAGATCATTGATAAGAACTAGTTTTCTTCCATTTCTTGTTGCCAAACAAAACTTAATGATTTGATAAATAACGCCCCTGAATAGATACTTGCTAGCATTAACAGCTGGTTGACAACATTGAAGAACATACAAAAGTAGAAAGGGATTGTAAAAAAGGACTCCAGAATAAAGAGATTTTTTTAAACACTCATTTTATCCTGGTATTAGCAGGTTCTATTCTTCCAATATCCCTATCAAGCAAATTCTTTCAAACTTGTGGCACAATGCCTTTTTTTTTTCATTGTTTATTCCAGGAAGTTCCATTTTCCTTGTGTTCCATAAATCTTTTCTGAACATTCCAACATTTCAAAACATTTTGTTGTTGTTGTTGTGATCCTTTTATGTTATTAGGGCATTGTTGTTTCCTCACTCTTTGCTCTTCCCAAAGGTTAACTCCTTCCTCCAGCTGATCATCTAGCTTTCAAAGGCTTAAAATAGAGACACAGGTCTTTATTTGTTGCCCAGTTGGTGGACAGAAGAGATATTTATTTGATTTTTATCCTGCCTTTATTACTTTACATGTAACTTAAGGCGGCAGACATGCTTAATAGTCCCTCCTCCTCCTGTTTTTCCTCACAACAACAACCCTGTGAGGTGAGTTGGACTGAGAGAATGTGATTGGCCCAAGGGAAGCCAACTGGCTTTCATGCCGAAGGTGGGATGAATTCAGTCTCCTGATTTCTAGGCCATAATATTAACCACCACATCATCATCATCATCTTCTATATATATATAAAACTCCCCCTCCCCCCCCCCCCCCCCCCTCCCCCCCCCCCC